TTTACTAATTAATATTTTATTGCACAATTTAGATATCCATTCATTCATGAAAAGACTTATGTCAATGTGTATGACTCTTCTGGTCCTCCATAACCCAGTTGTAGCTTTGTAAGAATAGAGCTATAGTCCTAACAAAGGGTGATTTTCTTCTCTTGTACACACTACCACAGTGTCACCCTAAAAATAAACCCGATGCAGTATTTCCAGAAAAGGACATTGTATCTGAAGCTGGCTATCTCCTGCTGTTTACTACATGTGTGGCCGAAGGCAAATGTGGAGGATATCTCATCTTGATTCTCATTGATTGGATGTGTAAAATGGTTTAAGTGATGCAAGGATAAGATCCAAAGATGGAAGAAATATTAATTTCTAAGCAGTGGCATTTAAATGTCATGCACTTGATTTAAAAAAAAAAAGGTTTCCTCTCTCTAAGCTCCTCTAGAAGCCTCCACTCTCCTTGTTTGCTTAAGGTCAAATTAACAGATTAGAAAGTAATTTATTATGGGGAAGAGAGAACATTTTTCCAATTTAAGGAGAGGACATGAGGCAAACGTTAACATAATTAATAGCACCCCGGGTGTTCTTTTGAAGTCAGCAATTGACTCAGTGGCTTTTTGGCTCCCTGCCCTTTGAGCAAGTTCTCCTCTGGGGACTTCAGGCCTTATTATGAAACCTGCACAGCACATTTGTAAGATGGCGACTGCTTGCCTTGTGCACCTCTCTGTAGAGTAATTTTGTTTTCTGTTGTGGAGCTCTGTGCTTTTAGATGCCTTGTTAGCATTATAGATTACAGATTACAGGATATAAACCTGTTGACCCAAGTTGTGCGGGCAGCCCAGGTGGGAGGAGGGTCACTGCAGTAATGGCCAATATGTCAGGTTGCCTCCTGAAGCAGATTAATAATACATACAGTTACCAAGGCGGCACCTGCATCCATGGAAACACTGTCAGCACCAGTGTTTGAGCAATGTTTGTACTGTAGTTTATTTTCCTTTTTCCTCTCACATCCATGACAGCTTTAAGTAGATATCAGGGTAGGCAGTCATTCTTCTGAAAGTTTTCGCTCAGATCGGATTTATTGACAAAACCTCATACATCTGTAGTAGCAAAGATTCATCTGTTGTTTGTGTAAAGAAAAGAAAAGAAAAACTCCTTTATTTTACCTACTTCAGATGTCTTGGTAACAATAATACACTATCCCTTTAAGAGTAGTAGTGGGGCCACTCAAACAATGTTAGTGTACTGTCATTATCTGGCTAAGTATGTGTATTGTCAAATTGTCTTTCTAGGGTCTGCAGTCTTTGCCACCAACTTGTGTAACATTGTGACATATTCCTGTTTTTTTTCCCTCTATGTTGGTTTGTACTTCTGTATATTTAGGACTATCAGACACTCCTCCCCTTATCTTTCTTCACAGAGGAGTGTGTTGCAAGTGTCTTGTCTAGTGTTCGGACAGTAACCTTTGGCCATTTTTTTTCCTGACATTAACTCATGCTGCACTACAGTGGTTCACACTGAAATACCACAGTCTGAGGTCATACCCTTTGGTCTCTTCCACCTCTGCTGTGCTTCAGTGGCACAAACAGCCTTAACAGAAGACATGTGCTTGTCACCACATCTATTTATAGACTTAGCCTGGCTTTTAATACTGTGATTTTTATTTACCTTTACGATTTACAAAGTGCTCTGACAGAGGCAAAGAGTAGATTTAAACAGATTGAAACATTAAATTCAAACAAATTTACAGCTGAAAGAAAAAGAAGTTCACCCTATAGACATGATGTTACTGAGTGTGCAACACCTGCTTCAAACACCCTTGTGTACTTATTGGTTGGACCACACCCAGCTCACTTAGAGACCAGCTACACACCCGTGAAGCTGTGAGTGCCTCTTTCACATTTACAACTAGAGCAGGGAGATATGACCAAAAATATTTATCA